ATGTCCCACCTGGATGTTTTCATTTCACCCCACGCCCTGCTGCTTTGCCACTGATCTTTACGCGTCAACCCAAACAAGTTGTACAAGTTAAACTACAAGCGGTATACTCCTGGCAGTGTCATTGTATCCCTGCCTTGCCGTCCATTAAACTTCAGACAAAAATGTCGAGTTACCTCTGCCCCGTTAAATTCCATATATTCTGGGCAAATTTACAGTTTTTCTGTAAAATTACCTAAGGTCTAGAAAATGTTTACACAGTTTCAGTAACAATCTTACCAAGTCTTGTAAATTTACCTCACTTCAATCGGAAAATTACATAATTATGTTAAATATACCATAAGACTTCTGTAAAATTTCATGAATTTGTTGAATTTACCATAGGATTTCTGTAAAATTACATTGGTTGTAAATTTACAACAAAACAAGTCGTAAAAATGCCAGTGCTTGTAATTTTACATACATGTTATGTAAAGTTTTACATGCTTTTTATGTAAAATCGCTTATTTTTTTTACAGTGTGGATGTCTTCACGAAGTCTCCTCGTAGTCTCTACGTTGTCTACGGGAAGTCCCTATAATGTCTATCGATACTCTTCTCGGTGTCCGCATTCTCACTTTAGCCACTCCAAGTGTCTCTGAGTTGCCCCAGCACAGGCTCACGTGTGGCTCGCGATAGCCTTGGCGGAGTCTGGACGATGTCTTTTAAAGAGACATCCTAGAGGCATGCGTAAGCCCCTTTTTTTGTACGGTTCGATACTGTAAAGAGCGTATTCTTCGTAGCTAAAACAGCCGAAGCTCGTGTGATGTGAGCCGTACGTTGTCATTTGGCCAATCATACGCACGTAAAAAGAAAATGAAAGCCAGTCTAATGGTGTAAAAGTATATTTTGCAGTTAATAGAAAGAACGCAAGAGAAGCGAAGATGGGCAGGTGCACCTATGGAGTTTAGGCGGTCAGTTTTCAGTGACACCTCTTCGCAACATCCAGAGCCACTCGCACAAAGTCTGCGCCTCCAACGAGGCTGGCGCAGATGGGGAACTCGATGAAGAACGACAGCGACGGGTTATCCTGCGCCACTTTCAGACAGATCAATACCCACCCGGGCACATCCGAGTAAAGCGTCTCAACGATCTCCTTGACGCACTCGGATGGGTCAGCTCGCACCGCTGGTGGAATAAGGGAATACACCGTTTAGGGCCGTTGTTTTCAAACCACCAAAATGGATGAAAAGCATTCCTTGAGGTAGTTGGTTGATAATCTTACCTAAAGTGTTAGTAGGTTTCGCCGGTGCAGCCAGGGGGATCGCCTAAGGAACAGCAGACACATTTGATTAAGATGTGATAAGTATTCGGCTCAGAATAGGGTGTTTCAGGCTATCTAAAATGGCAGTGAAAAAGAACAAATTCATTCATTTATCTGCTTTCATCCGCCCAGTATGATAAGCTACCATGGTAGTTTGGTCCGATCCTAGCTTCTTAAATATATGGAGGGGAGCTCGAAACTGATCTGACAGTTTCTCATACCTGAATAGCCGCGGAGGCACGTGATTAGCTCGACCAATCAGAGCCATTACGGTAACAGCAAGGTCAGTGAGTTTGATCTTTTCCTAATTCCGTTTTAGATTGCCTGGAACACCCTACTTTTTTTCCGTGATAGCAAGAGGTGAAGGGTACCAAGGTCGGTCTCAACTTAAAATGTGTGGTTTTAGGGGGTACTTCCTCTACAGTTTTTCGATAAAAAAATAAGTTGCTGACATTCGGCTTATTTTTGTTATTAAATGCCCGTAAATTCCATCTTGCCCGGGGTGGAGTGGGGGGTAGGGATGGGGATCGAATGGCAAAAGATCGATCTCGTGGATCGATCTGAATCGAAAGGGTTGAAATCGATCCACCTCTTAATCGAGTAAAAAAGATTTGCGTTTGGGGTATTTCTTATGGCCGCCGGCAGGCCAAGCAGGCCTGGCCCCTGCCGAACGGAGTTGCCGGCGGAGCTAAGTGGAGCTGGCAACTTTGTTTGGCGGAAGGGCAGGACTTCTTGTTTATTTTTTGATTTTTCAGAACTTCCGTTTAGCTTAGAATATCATGTTGATGTTGATGTTTTCATCATGATGATGTTTCATCAACATGATGTTTTCATCATGTTTTCTAAGCTAAACGGAAATTCGGAAGACTAAGAAAATAAAAAATACTTGAGTTTTTTTAGAACAGTCAAAACCATAAGAAATACCCCAAAACGCAAATTTTGTTTGGCGGAATCGGAAAGAGCACGTCATTGATGATAGGCCCCGTAACTAGTGCGGAACATCCCTATAAACTAGCACCAAAACTCCAACTAAACACCAGATTTTAGCTAAAATTACGTTTCCCACCGTTTTTGTCGGGCTCCTAAGTAGGGGGCGGTACGACTATTTTCGTTGGCTGCGCAACATGATGACATCATGTTGATGAAACATCATCATGATGAAAACATCATGTTGATGAAACATCATCATGATGAAAACATCATGTTGATGAAACATCATCATGAT